AAAAAAAGGACGGACTAACGACTATAAAAAAGGCTTCTGTAACCTTACCTTCAGATCATTCCTTTTCTTAAGAGCTTGCTTCAAGGCAATCAGCAAATAGTCAGTGTTCTGTTCTCGCTCATGAATTTCGTCCTGCAATAAAATTTTGAAGCTTTCGCTTTTGATAAAGTGAGATCTTGCGCAATGCTAAATAGCGTGACTTACAAGAATGATGTGCGAGATGTCGCGGGCAGCATCATCCTGGGTCAGCATTCTTAATAGTACGCCACTTGTGCAGTAGGTCAATACCGTTTGCGGTGATGTTCTAAACAGGAAGTTACCAAATAAAACAGACATTGTAGATGGAAAGACTTAAATTTCGAACTAAGTTGGCTCACCTTTGTTCTAATCGAATATGATATCCAACGGTAGAGCCTAAACTTTCACCCCGCTCTTTTGCGACGCGACTTGCCACTGCAATTGCCGGTAATCGTCTTGGTTGTGTACAAACTATCCGCAATGGTTGCTGGTGCTCATACGCATCTTCGAGCAAGAATTGCGGGACCTATAACCGGGCGAATTCAACTAAACTAACCCAAAAACGTTTGGTCAAAATACCTGCGTTGTTTTACCGCATCCCGTTCCACCGGTGATCAGAACCACCTTATGATCATTGATAGCTTTTAGCACATCTGCTCGTTGCTGATATGCTGGTAGCATGTTTCTGAACAAACGCATGAATATTGATCTCACTTTCCAAGCAAGGCGCGCTTACCTCTGCTTTTGCATCTCTGCAGTGATGTTGCTACGTTGCGGTACAAGCATTTCTGGTCTTTCCCTATTGCCCACATCTCGTTGTGAGCGATCTCTGGCTAAAAACAAAATAATTTGAGCACCTTGCCATATGGAATTTGTATCAATGAAGAGATGCAAACCAACATTTCGGAGCCGCCAAGTGACGATCAATAGCCGGACCATAAATAGGATATTGGCTGATGAAGTTAGATAGCTGCAAATGTCAAGTCTAATTTGTTCAAAGGTAAATTGAAATGAAACATTAATTCTTGTAATTCCAAAAGTGACCCAACAAGAGAAAAGAAAAAACACCAGATAAAATTTTGCACCCAAAATCAGTGCTGTCAGAGAAAATGTTGATTATGGATATACAGTGATGTAAGCAATGTCAGAAAAAGCAAACTTTCAAAAGGACGAAGTACTATGCGTAGTAAAATCTTTTTTTTAGAAAGAGAAAGATTTTTTAGAAAGAAAAAGAATTGATCGCGTGATCCTAAAACAAGAGGAAAGGAAACTGTACCGAAAATGCAAAATTAAGAGAAACTCACCACTTTCCGAATTTCAGATGTAAGTCGTATGGGTTGCGTTTCATTTGCACCAACTGCCGCTAACTTCGGTGTAGGACGTCGATGAACGACACATCGTCGATTCGGTTCTCTTCTGAATACAAGCTGCTTCACTTCACCTTCCTACAAATCAAAAGCAACGTACCCCTCGCTTGATGTTTGTAGGCCTTTGCGTCGGGCTAGTTCGTGCAAACGCCGCCGTTCATGTCTCTCCATTGGTGGAAAACAGAGCTCTACAACCATATACATTCATGCACATGTAGAAATAAGGTTAATGGTGTCATGTTATATAAAGGTTAATCACCTGTAGTGGTCCCATTCATGAATTCATCCAGCTTCGCTGTCACTTGCCGCTCCCAATTTGCGTCGATTAATTGCACATGCGGGCCGTATTGTGGATTTTTGAACCTACAGATTACATCGACATTGTAGTGAAAATTTGCTTTTAGGATTCTAAAAAAAGTTTACCCGTTCGGCTCATCACGGTCGAAATTGTTGTGGTGGTTTTTGGTGCGTCCTTTTCCATGATTACCATAATAAGCCATTTTGTTACTGCTGCTGGCCTCCGCTGTTTTTTATCGAGCGGAAAGCGCGCAGCCAGCTTGTTGGAAGCACCTTCCTAGAATTTTAATCCGTTCAATACATACAATTGTAGCATTAAGCAAAAAACGAAGCTTGAAAATTGGGAAAAGACGCATAAACCTACAAAAAATTGCAATTCAAAGCATGTACATATAAGGGTGAAGTACGGTGGCAATCACAACCATAGCAACGTATCCATGAACAATAAGATTGTAAATTCTTTATAAACCATAACAAAGTAAAATCTAAGAATACACCCATATCTACTTTGCATGTAACAAATGCTAATTCTTCTAAGAAAAATCCCGCTTTTTTTGGCCTCGTTGAGGTATAAACATCTCTATTCACAGCATGACAAAGACTTGATTAATACAACAAAACTCAATATAAGAACAATTCAATATAAACTGAGCAAGATGGCAACAGCCAAGCATCAAGCTGAACTTATAACTCAAAAGTGCACAAAAAGATGAAATACTAAAGTACAACATAGTACAAATCTATCGAGGGACTCAATATATACTAAACATGACTAACTCCGACGCTGCAAAAAGCCATTAGGCTTTGCTGCGGCACATCTGGGAGCTGGCAGCGAGCCAGTGTCATATAACTGGAGCCGAATTACGACACTGCAGGCAGAAGCTAAGAAGCAAGAAAATTATCCAACACACTGCTATTCAAAAAAGTACAATTCTTATCACCTTGTAGATAACTTTCAAAAAGTTGTTCGATACATTATGCGAAATTACAAAAGAAAAGATGGTAGAAAAAAGAAGGCAATGACGTGAAACAAAGTGAAATCAAAAAATAAGAACTTAGTTGTACTTGGAATTCAGTGAAATGACGTCAGCAACTAATCCATTCACGCGCGAAAATGTGGCGTATTCGTCCAGACGGGACACTGAGCTGCAATATCAGCCGAGTTGGCGCAACGCTCAACTCGCACGACCACCTCATCGCCGACATTTTCGCGATATAGCTGAGTCAACTCGTCGATCGCACGTTCTTCATCTTCAATGAATTGCAATGGCCTTGAGTGGCGTTTTGTGCCTGAAGTTAACAACATAAGACACAGTAAACATAATAAGATCATTGATGTTGCTGACATGAAAAAAAA